ACTTTGACTCAACATTTCCACACTTTCTCCTTGAGCCATCCACTCCCCCCCCCCCAAATGCTATCTGTTTAACTTAGTGTTGATAGCAGGTCAGAAAAATGTTGGTGCAAGGAGAGAATAGATTGCCGGTTAACCATAGTTCGTGGCAAATTTGAAGAAGATTCGTATTCTGTTGGAATGTAAAGTTGGGAACTGGGGAATGCTCTGGAAAACATTGATCACTGAGTCGATGGACATTCCCAGTCATCCAGATAAAGTTATCTGAAACTTGACTTATAGCAACTGGACTTATTTTCTTATTGGCTTGAAACTTCACTGTTCATTGAAGCAGCTTCATCAGTTGGAGCAAGTTAGTTAGGCAAAGAGTCATCAGAATCTTCATTGACATATTGCCACATGCTTTGGGAAGGAAACTCCTGAGGTCAGTGCAGAAGGAGTTGATACATTCCAGGAACTTTCTGCCTAACTAATTTTCTTGGACTGATGAGACTTTTTGGACGAGCAGCGAAACATCACGAACCAACAAGAAAATAAGTCAAGTTGGCATGACTTAACTTCCAGACTGATCCTTGAGACACCAACTTTTCTTTTTCTTTGTAAGTTTAGAGATAAGAACTTGCTTGAGCTGGTTCCTTTGTTTTTACATTTCCATTCCCTCCCTAACTGGAAGGAAGGCAGAGAGTGGCATCAGGTGTGGTGGATGAATCTTTTAGAATCTTTGTATTTGGGGAGAAAAAACAGCAATTAATCAAAACCAGATGTGGCCGCTCTTTACACAGCCAGTGAGAACTGAATAGAAGGAAACAGTGATGGGTGATGACTCAGGGGCACAGTAGAAAGCAGTAGCAAGTTGCTCTGACTTCACAGGAGGCTTTTAAATGCAATTGATTCAGACTTCTTTGCAGATTAGCAGAACTTTCATACCTCAATATTCCTTTTGAGAAAAGTCTGCATATTGCAGGAAAAGTGTACGTGTGGTTGTTTTTTTTAAAATACTTGCAGTACCAAGGACAGCTCCAGTCTTAAAATTTAGTGCATCAGAGGAATTTTTCAGCTGGAATCAACCAAATGAATGGTTGCAATGCCTCTTGTTCCTCTATAGTTTATGGAATGGATGAGGTAATATTTTATGGACAGGCTGTAAAAATACATTTGAAGGAGAAGAATATTCATCAGCAGCTTGATTCACACGTTAAACCAAAATGTGCTTGTAGTTTGTAAGCCTTGTTTATGACAGTGCAGCTTTCTTAATCCTGGGTGCTCTCCAGAGATCTGGATGTCAACTCCCACAATTTCTAGTCCAGCCTTGATATTGCTGAGGATTCTGGAGTTGGTCCATACATCTGAAGGATGCCAAGATTAGGGAAGAATGGCATTATGTTTTGAAAACACCTAGCCAATGGGAGATTATTTAACAAACCGTTGTTAAGTTAAATATATTTATTTATTTATTTATGAGACTTATATACCGCTTTAAGTGCAAGCACTCTCTAAGCAGTGTACACCAGTAAGCAATGTATATATATATTTACATTGCCCCCAACAATCTGGGTCCTCATTTTATCTACCCCGGAAGGATGGAAGGCTGAGTCAACCTTGAGCCGGTGAGATTTGAACCGCTGACCTGCTGAACACAGTCAGCTAAAGTGGCCTCCAGTACTGCACTCTAACTGCTGCGCCAGTTAGATAGCATTATATCTGATCCCAGGCAATTTGAAAGAACAGAGCAGATTCCAATGTGATACCTGGACAATTAGATGCTACATTTGGTTGAGTTCAGGTTACTTGTCTGTGTAGCCCAATATTATCTATGCTGACTATCAATTATTTTCATGGCTTTAGGCAGATCCTTTCTGGAAATAATGGAGCTAACTGCATATGAATCAGATGTTCCTCCTCAGAGCTACTACTCATTCTGATGTAATGATTACAGGATGAAGATTTTGGAGATTCAGTTTCAAATAATTGCACTGCTATAAAGCTTGCTTGGGAATCTTGAACCAAGCAGTGTCTCTTGGTGTATTTCCTTTAAGGATGGTTATGCAGATAAAATACATTTCTTTGACAGAGGAATAACGGAATAATAAATATATAATGAAGTGTGAAACAAGATGAAATTTAATTTACAAATTAAGTTGAAGGGTTTTTTTGGGAGAGGAGGTGTTCTATAGAATTGTACATTTCAGCTGATTGCTGTTTTATCTGAAACAGAGAAGTTGTGAATGTTAAATGTAGCATTACATTATTCTACAGCTGCAATCTAAGGCAGGCCTAAATGGGAACTAGGACAGTGCAACAATTCTAAGTGAACGTGCTTTAGTAAATTGGGTTGATCTAAAAAAAAAAGCTAAGTAGGTCAGATATGGCTGCTACTATAATGAAAGATCACCAGGTCATCAAGCTGCCAAGGGTGAAAAAAAATCATTGTACCTCAGATCAAAGGTGATTAGAAAAGTAAGGGGAGGGTTTTTAACAATTCTAAATAATATAGAGAGGAGAGCATTTTGATGTGCTTGAAAACCTCCCCCCCTCCCCGCCCCAAGGGCACAGCACTATGGTAGTCTGAAGTGGAAAATTAATGGGGAAAAAACTGAGAATACTGTTTTTTTCCCCTTCTTTTCTCTGTCTGGCAAGGCCTAAGTTTCTTCTAAGAGAAAAATCTGGCATGGCAAACAAGGGAGCAAAATGTATGAGAAACATTCATATATTTTTCTATTTTCCCTTTCTGGGAAGTGGGAGAGAGAAAGAAGTGATAGAGCATAATGTAATAGAATGAGTTCAGGCCATAAGAAATTAAATGTATTCAAAACAGGAACAAGGCTAGGAGCCATTTTTTCTGCTTTTCAGCTACTGCCAGCAATCAGGCCAAATGTGCTGGACACTTGTTTCTGAATCTTCTTTTTTTTTTTATTGAAAATTTTTAAGTTTTACAAAAAGAAATTCCCTTCCCCAAACCCTCCCAACCCTCCCCTACCCTCCCCCGACCTTCCCAGAGCTGAATACAGGCTTAATTAAAAATTTTTTTTAAAAAAATCTTAAAACACATGTAAACCATAAGCAAATCTAAGTACATTAATTAAACAACTTATAAAATAGTTAACAGCAATATATAAAAAGGATACAAGAAGAAAGAAAAAAAGAAACAGAAAAATTCAAATAAAAAAAAGAAAAATAAAAAAAAGTTAAAAAAAATATCTATGAAATATCTTAAAGTTTAAATATAAATTATTCAAAAACTAAATAATATTTTTTTATATCCAACTTATATTGTATGAAATCTATCCATTTTTTCCATACCAGGAGGTATTTCTCTTGCGATTGATCTTTCAAGAAAGCCGAAATCTTTGCCATTTCCGCCAAATAAGAAACTTTTAAAAACCACTCTTGCAAAGTAGGCAAAGATTCCTTCTTCCAACATTGCCCTACTAACAACCTGGCCGCTGTAATTAAATTTAACATCAATATAGTCTCTTTACTATCACAATCAGAAACAATACCTAACAAAAACAATTGTGGAATAAATTTTATCCTTCTTCTAAAAATTCTTTGAATATTCCACCACTTTCTGAATCTTCTTAAACACCACTGCCATGTTGTCAGAACATTGTCATATCCCCTTTCTTTTCCTTCTGTTCAATCGTGTCTGATTCTCAGAGACTGCTTGGACAAGTCCCTGCAGTTTTCTTGGCAAGGTTTTTCAGAAGAGGTTTGCGATTGTCTCCTTCCTAGGGCTGAGAGAAAGTGACTGGCCCAAAGTCAACCCCCCCCCCCCGCTTTATGCCTAAGACAAGACTAGAACTCACAATCTCCCAGTTTCTAGTCTGATGCCTTAATCACTACGCCAAACTGATTCTTGTTATGTCCTATTAAGAAAAGAATGCAACCATGGAAACACCATAAAGATTGCAGTTCTGCCTTTGGTGTAAATTACTTCTGGGCAACAAACCACATATTAGACAAGGTGCCTGCAGTAAGACCTACATGATGAAGAGATGGCCCTGCAGCTAACAACACTGTGATGATTAGTGGTACCCCTCCCCCCACCTTTTGCACCATACCATACTCATGTAAAACATAGTGACCCCACTGTTTTTTTTAAGGAGTAATTGGTACATTCTGTGAATCAGAGATTTGAAAGGCTGCAATTAGACAATCTAATTATAAAATTAGAAACTGTTGCCCTATTTATCTTTGCATCTCTGCAGTTGCAAACACAGATATCTATAATAATGTGAAATGCAGAAGAAATGGAGCAGTTAGGGTTATAACTCTTCCCGAAGTCATCGCATAATTGATTTTTAATCACGCAGCCTCTGCAGCAGAGGATAATAATATGCACGATAGGGAATCTGCCATTCCTTCTATCCAATAGCCCAAGGATCACTGAGCCTATTTCTGCTGTTCAGACTGGATAGGGAAAAACTGAGATTATACATTATGTACAGTAGTGGCCAAAATTGTGGAAACCTTTTAGGAAAAGTGTATTTCTGAGGTGTGATGGCTAATAACACCACTTTTTTTGGGAGGAGTACCATAAAATTATATATCAATGGAAAGATAATTTAATCAAGAATGTAATGCAACAAAGTTTGTTCAATTATCTGTAGTGTATTCTATGAAAAGTTACAGCCAAATAACCAGAAAAAGGAAGCACAACTTGTTTAGGTTGATATCAGGTAGTTTTCCTTCATCTGATTGTAGCCAATGAGCATGAGTGTTTAGAGAGCCAATCAGGTGTCATCTTGTTTTGGCAATGAGCCAATCAGATCACAGTAGGATTCAGTTATTGATGTCATGTATTGAAGCTGAGAGGAGGACATTTGTCAATGTGTTATGTGATCTCTATCAAGTTGGTTGGGGTTTTTTTTGTGTTCTTTCATTTAGTGAGCTTGTAAAACATAATAAAATTGAAGTAATGGTGCAAAGAGTTGACTGGTCGCCCAGAAAGCGATGTAAAATAGTATTATTAAGTGAACAAGGCTACAGTTATAAACAAAATTAGAAGAAAAATTGGTGGAAACTTAACCAAAGGTGGCATTTCTACCATACACTATTCCCAAAAGGTTTCCACAATTTTGGCCACTACTGTACTAATGTAGTAAAATGCTTCATGGGCCAATAATCCTGCCTCTCCCATGGTTCGGCAAGCCTTTTGAATCCACTTCCTCACTTGGCAACCCAGAAGACTTTCCTGTCTGTGCCTGACAGGATTGCCCTTCTAGGATTCATCCTATAGGATCTGTTTCCTTGTGTTCCTTTTCAAATTCCCTTCATGTCACCAGCTAAGCCTATTAGGATGGAATAGGAGATGCTGATTGAAGGCACCAGTACTCATGCTTACATGCCACACTTTTCCAAAAACTTGCTGGTGTGTGGTGCAAAACATGCTCTAATGCTTAGTTTATGAACTCTGTGGTTCAAATTTAGAATATTGGCTTGCTTTTATATAAGAAATGATTTATTTAACTGTGTTAAATGTGCAAACTGAGCCCATTGTGGAGTACAATTCTCGAATGGCAACTGGCCTGAGAAAAAAATTGAAAAAAAAAAACAACCTCCTGCCTGGGTAGATTTGTCAACCAGTTCCCTTTATCTTTTAGGCGGTGGCTTCTTGTCATCTGGGAAGTAGGTATTATGTTTTCTGGCAACAGAACTATTACAAAAAAACCATGACCATTTGTTTAACTATCTGGCATGAGGTACGCAAAGGTGCTGAGTATACCTGGCAGACAGATGCATTCTGGTCTGCATTCCCATCTGAAGGTCTCTCCCTTCTGATTTGTATAAACAGGACTCAACTTGGATTCTGCAAGAGAAAAATCCTGCAGACTATCAGATCAACAGAGAGATAGAATCAAACTTGTATATCACCCTTTTGTTTATCTGTGGTCTGATTCAAAGCTATAATTCAGAAAAACAAATAGTAGGTAGCAGCTGCAAGATGAAGTCCCTGAACATTGACACAGATGGGTGAGTGTGTGTATTTGTGAGCAATGTGGGAGAAAAAGAGCTTGCTGAATGCTGTCGTCTATTGACCAATGATGAAACTATAATTTCTTGCAGTCCAGCCAACATAACTAAGAATTGTGCACCAGAAATATCTACAGACCAAGATGTTTGTTCCACTGCCTGCTTATATAACCCCTCTGTTCTTGTGACTATATTCATACCTGCAATCTTAGGAAAGGTGGGTTGGCAAAAGAACACTTTGTATAGAATTGACTATTTTGATTTTTGAATCTGCCTCTTATTGTCTAAGGCAAAAATATTAATGCTTGACTAGCATTTGCAATAGTTGGAGCCATATGTTTCCTGGTTGGGGAATTCTGGGAGTTGAAGTTCATGCATCTTAAAGTTACCAAAGTTGAGAAACACTGAAGTCAAGACTTCCCCCCACAGGTACACATCCTGAGTGATGATTTTTATTGAATTTGTGTCACAGCATGAGGTAGCAGAGCAGAATTCAGTTTGTGTGTGTGTGTGTGAGAGAGAGAGAGAGAGAGAGAGAGAGAGAGGGAGGGAGAACAGAGACAGAGAGACAGAAAGAGAGAGAGAGAGATTAGATAACCTTTATTGTCATTTTTTACTGTCGGCACAATGGCACACATTAAAAATGAAATTTAGTTGCTCTCAAAGTGTACACATACATAATACAGCATATGTATAGACTTACATCCTTACATATAAGTAACATATAAATATTAATCACTGTCCATCTTGAATACATAACGGAAGGAGGAAGTTTTAGAGTTCACAAGGTTAATACTGTATGGAACAAAACTGTGACTGAATCTGGATGTTCTGCTTCAGATATCACGGAACCTCCTTCCAGAAGGTGATAAGGAAGACAGATCGTGAAGAGGATGTGTAGTGTCCCAAACAATCTTACGGACCTTGTTCAAGCAACGCTTCTGTGCTATGTCCTGGATGGAAGGGAAGGAACTGCCAGTGATCTTTTCAGCCATCCTCACCACTCTCTGCACCGCCTTCCTGTCTGAAGCAATGATGCTTCCAAATCATACTGTGATGCTGTATGACAGGATGCTCTCAATCATCCCTCTGTAGAAAGTGGTCAGGACAGGGGAAAGAAGATGTGCTTTTCTCATGCGATGCAGAAAATGCTGCTGTGCCCACTTCACTAGTGTCTCCCTGTTGAGCGACCAAGCCAGCCTACTTGTTAACTGCACACCCAGGAGTTTGATGCTGGTAACCATCTCCACAGGTGAGTCATTAATGCACAGAAGAGTGTGGTTGTGCTTGCCTTTTCTAAAATCGACAATGATCTCTTTGTTTTTTTCTAGTATTTAAAACTAGGCTCTTTTCCTTACACCAGATGTGTTTTATACTTCAGTGAATTAAGTATCGTGACTATAAATATAAGTGAATGCAAATGACATTTCCCAGAAAACCTAATTAAGCTACATTAAAGTAGGTATCACGTGGGTTTCTAGGAAGAAAATAAATAACTGCGATACTGAGAAATACAGTTCTTAGAATGAATGAATCATTTTCATTCTTAGAAATTGACTGTTCCTTTTGTTTATGTGCTAGCTACTTAAATACAAAAGAAATCATTTAATTTCATAAGTTTGAGTATCTAGGCCACTCTTTCCCCAACCTTGCTCATTTAAGACATATTTGAACTACAAATGCCAGAATTTCCCATGCAGTAGAAGAGCCATAAACCCAACCCATAGAGGTTGCCCTCAACCTAACAACAGTTTTTTTAGTGACTGTTCAAAGACACAAAACCACTGAAAAAGTGACCATTATGACCATTTTACACACTTACCACCATTGCAGCATCTCCATAGTCACATGATCAAAATTCAGATGCTTGGTAACTGACTCATATTAATCACGTTGTAATGTCCTGAGGTCATGTGATCACTTTTTGTGACCTTTGGTCAAGCAAAATCAATGGGGAATCAGATTCACTTAACAGCCATGCTACTAATTTAAATAGCCATTCACTTAAGAGTTGTGGTAAGAAAGGTAGCAAAATGGGGCAAAACTTGTTTAACAACTGTCTTGCTTAGCAACAGAAATTTTGGGCTGAATTGTGGTTGTCAGTCAAGGACTACTATAGCTTTGGAGTATGTGGATAGAGATCAGCAGTCCCATTTCCTCTTGAGGAGTTGAAAATCAAAGGATAATTACAATTACAATTTAAATAAGAATTTTATTAAAACTAAAAAAAAGGCAATGATAGCAGCATTCCAGCATCTGAGGGGCTGCCACAAGGCACAGGGGGCCAGGTTGTTCACTTGATCTTTGTTTAGCACTCTGCTTCTCTTGTTGCCAGCCTCCATCTTGCTTTTTCCAGTCGTCTGGCTTTCTCCTCCTTCCAACTGTTGTTTCTCCTTGGATCTTTTCCAGGTAATTTCCCAGCTGTTCTGTTCTCTTTGCTTTAGCACAAAGGTTGTAATTCTCTGAAGGGTGGGACCAGAAGAAGCTGTTTCTTTCTTCTTCTTCTCCCTCCACCATCTGGGCTTTTAAATTGACCCAGAATCCTGTTTTCTTCCTTTTTTTTTTTTGGTTTCCTTCTTCTGCAGGTTTTAAAGTTCTCAGTGAATTCTTCTACCTGAAGACCTGCTTGTATTTGAAGCTGTATTAAATTCTGCTACCTGTTTTCTCAAACATCTGGAATATGTGTTTGTCTAGCAGGGAAGGATCTGTCTGAGTGAATGAGTGCTTGCCCACCCACTGCAATCTGAACCTCTTTAGCCTGAGGAAGACTGATTTGCAAGCTTTATTAGTTCAAAATTTCTCCTCTTCCTCCTCCTCCTCCTCCTCCTCCTCCTCCTCCTCCTCCTCCTCCTCCTCCTCCTCCTCCTCCGGCTCTGCACAACTGGCTGACAGCAATCAATGAAATTATATTAAAATACAAAACACATAAAATATGAACAAAAGGTAAGCATGATAGATCTGATGGAACGAAGCAAGGGGTTTCACCTCCCTCATAGATAGAACAAGAATTGTGCACCTTTCCTATGCAGCATCCATACATGTCACGAGAAAGTTGCACATTGTATCTGGCAGTGTTCAGAGGCCACAATTGCTTGAAGGAAGCCTTATATTAGCAATCGGGACAAAAAAACCTCCCACAATCATTGAAGAGAAATTATGTTAGGAAGGTTGATTGGCGTAGATGTCACAGAATCTAAGAAGAGGTAATGTGTTCACTAACAAGATATATGCTGCAAGTAGATCTGTGTAATACGAATGAATTTGACATATAGAGTTGTATCAGTCCTTTGAGGTAGTCAGACAAGAAGCCAAAACTATGAGTACTAACACTAGCTTATTGTAAATTTACAGTAACAGAATCTTGCAAGTGGAGCAATTCTCCCTTCCTTTACTTTTACTTTCCAGGAAACTGAGGAGGATCCTTTCTGCCATGCTTCATATGCCCCTTTTCCTTTGTGAGCCAAGACTTCTTTTATTTAGGCTTTAGCTGTCTTCCAATGTTATTTTCACAGCCCATTACATGTTGTGAGATTTTGGTTGTTTAATTTTCAGCATTGCCAGTGGAGGCTGGGTTGAACAAATGGCCCAAGATTGAAGAAACAGAGTGCTGGGCTGGGGTTCCCAAAACTCAAGAAAGTGGTCACAGCATTGTGTTCAAAGCCTCATCCTTTTGTATCTGCATGCAACATTGCCACATGTACGAAAGGAGTGAGGTTTCCATCACACCACGATAACTGCTTTCTTTTCTTTTCTGACTCTCTCCCCATGGCTGCTGCTGAAAAGTCCAGATTCACAAGGTAGTCTAAGATAGCAATTTGAGCTTGACTGGCTGGTGTCACCGTTGTGTTTTTCAGTGCTAGGGAGAGAAGTCATTTTAAAGATGCCCTTATGGAAATAGCATTAGGTAAAGGTAAAGGTTTCCCTGTCCAGTTATGTCTGAAGACTTGTTGATAGTCTTGTGGCCAGCATAGCTATACGTCAAAAGTGCACAGAACATTATTACCTTCCCACCAAAGTGATACCTATTAATCTACTCCATTTGCATGCTTTCGAACTGTTAGATGGGCAAGAGCACACAGAGTATTTTCTCAAATGGGTGGACTCTTATAGCCACAGCTAAGAAATAATTGGCCAGCAGATCAGTTTCCAGTTACTGAACTACCGATGAAGTTTCCACTCTGTATCAGCCTCATCCTTTGATGTGCTACAGCAGGGGTTCTCAACCTTGGCAACTTTAAGACTTGTGGACTTCAACTCCCAGAATTCCTCAGCCAGTAAAGCTGAGGAATTCTGGGAGTTGAAGTCCACAAGTCTTAAAGTTGCCAAGGTTGAGAACCCCTGTGCTACAGAAAGGGAAAGCTGTACTTGCACACCAGATTTCAAAAGAGATGTAGATCTGCAGATGGACTTTTGTCATTCGTGGAAGCATGGAAGTGGAAGGAAATGATCAGATTGTTCTCACTCACTTAGGATCTTTAATACACATTGATATTTCTGCAGTTATGTATGTCCAAAAGTTGGTTGTTGCATACGAGGTCAGTGCTTTTTCTGGCTTGTGCATCATATAAATACCACATAAGGGGAAAAATATTGGAGGTGACAGTTGAATATAGTGGAAGAGTCAAATCAGCTGGAATGTAGGTTTTCTTGAATTGTTTTGTGAAACAGCTAAAAGGAGTAATTCGGTAAAACCCAAATCTTTGAAACTTTTCAAATATAGGGACATGAGGTTTGTTAGGATTGGGTTGAACAGTGTAAGTTTCAGCTCTTACTGGATTGCAGAGTTGACATTACAGTTTACAAAGTTGATATTTCTTCATCAGCTTGCTTTTTGTCCTGGATCCACAGCTCTGGGGGGAAACAATGTGATGCTACTGTGGGTTGCTGTAACAGTAGCATAATAAAGCAATATCCCTTTGACATAGATTTGGACACTTATGACCTATATTAACTGGTGGAATTGGAGCACAGAGTAATAGGGGACTGCACTTTTTTTAAAAAAAATGAACTTTTGGCTTAGCAATTTGATTTGTAAACTCAAGGATAGCCATATTTCATAAACTGGAAATGTTTGAATATTCCATCCTTACCCAAGATAAACCTAGCAGCTGGAAAAATTGCTGAATTACCAGTGATGTACAACTATAGGACTTAGTTTTGATGCACAGATGGGTTCTTCAGCTGTGGTTTTCTTTTCATCGGAAAGGAAGGCCAAACCCTTGATGACAAACACCGTTCTGAATAATTGATTCAGTTTCCAAAACATTAAGCTTAAGCAGGCATGAAATGGATACAGAAGTACTTATGGTGGCATTTAATCAATGAATTCTCATTTGTATGTGCGAATTACATTTCATTTTTTGTTTTGCAGGAGATAAAAGTTCTCAGGTTTTCAAGAAAAAAAATAGAGGGAGGGATTCCTATAATTTTCTCAGCATTGATGTGAATGTCTGAAAGTAAACAAATATGGCGTCTGTTCAGATTTGTTTGCAGACTTGATGTTAATACAAGGAAGTTGTAGGGAAAGCAGGTATGGCTGGAAACAAGAATATGTGCTTCTGTTTTTTGTCTATATGTAGCTTTTTTGAGCCCTTGAACCCCATGACTATTCATAAATATGTGGACTGATTCATAAAGTAGTCTGCTGTTTTAACCTAATTCATATATTTTAGTGTAGGATAGAGCAGTGTTTCCCAATCTTAGCAGCTTTACAACATGTGGACTTCAACTTCCAGAATTCTCCATCCAGTATGGCCAGCTGAGGAATTCTGGGAATTGAAGTACACACACCTCAAAGTTGCCAAGATTGAGAAACACTATCCTTGAGTTAAAATTCAGGGCCAGATATTTGAAGACTGTGTGCAAAGGTGACTCAAGTACAAAAAGACATTCTTTCAGGAAAGAACGCAAAGTTTTGTCAACGCTGCAAATATTGTATATTCTTGCTTTTGACAATATGTAGAATTGTCTGGTAATTATGGGGTTAATA